GGAGGCTGTCTTGGGAGGGAAGACCTGCAGAACCACTGCTGGTGCCTTGTGTTGGTCCCAGGACCAGGAAGAGGACCCGGTCTGTCCACTGTGGTCCTTCACTTGGTGCTGTGTGTTGCCAGCCACCTCATTCACAAGTGCTGGCTGAGGTCATGGGATGTATCTTCCTTTTCCTCCGGATGATATTAACTGGGCACGACAGTGGATCAAAGCCCCAGTCGCAGCCTCCTCATGTTGCTTCCGGGCAAGAACTAAGCAGTCTCAAGGGTGACTGTCAAACATGTCTCTAGAAATCCCGTCTCAGAAGCCTCATGTAAGTGGGCATTAAGTGCCTAGTTTGTGATGACTATTTGCCGCTACCTGACAGCTTCCTGGAAACCTCCTCACTCTACGTGGGAGAAAGAGGAAATGACGGTGCCGTCTTAGAAACCGTGGTTGGGATTCCCCCTGTAAGAACGCGCACGGTTACTCATATCGGGGACCTGGTTTTAGCACAAGGCAGTCATAGGGAGGCCCTGTGATACATCATGAGGCGTGGGCTCTGATCCCGGTTGGTCTTGGAAATGTCTTTGGGACCTTAGGAAATTTACCGACCCTCTCCGAGTCCTCGTGCCGTCCTCTGTAAGGAGATGCTCTCTAAGATGTTTCAGCTCTGACATTTTGTGACCTTCGTGCAGCCACAAATCTCACAGATCTGTGGAACCTTGGTCTCTATGTTCATCGTCTTCCTTTGGAGCCACGAGGAGATTCTGCTAACAGGATACGCCGTCTCTTCTGAGGCCAGTCCTTTGTCAGGGTCCTCGGGTCTCTGGCGACCTGAGTGGTCCTTCTAAGATAGACAACTGATGCCGTTTCGCCCATTTAAAATTTTCCATTGGGAACCACTTGCCGCTTTCCCCTGGCCTACAGGTCGCCCTGTTCTGCTTCTTCACGTGTCTAGTAATTTTCTGTTGTGCACTAGACTTTGTCAATGACCCTGGAGGGAGCCAGGATGTCCTTGTCTCCCTTTAAAGGGTGGTGAGTTTTGTTCTCCAAACAAGGGAGACAGACTTGTATGCGGGTTTGGCAGCGTGTCTCTCTGAGTCCCGCCTCTTGTGCGTTCTCCCTCTCCCACCTGTCTCTCCGTATGTCTCACAAATTCACTCAGCTTTCTCTGAAAAACAAACAAACAAAAATATCAAAGACAGAAACAGAAATACTCAGTCGTTGACTCCATTTATATTCCCAGTAGAAAAAATCAAAACAGAATAAAAGCGAGCATGGCAAAAATCATACTTGGTAAAATTGTTTTTTAACAAAAAAAAAACAAAAACAAAATAATAAGATCTCCTAGACCACGTTAGCTTATATACAATTTGACCCAGGAGTGTCAAAGCTGGCAGGAATAAGGGCCCACACCTCCTGATGGCAAAGCTTTCATCAGTACGGTTGGATGTGAAGGAAATAAACAGACCCGTGAGTGAAACCTCTGCTGTTTGCTGCATAATACACACAGCTGGCTCCCACCAGTGACAGCAAGAATAGATGCAAAAATAATTCTGGTCACACAAGAGCAAGGAAAACTAGGAAATAGTGCAACTGCATCGTATAGCAAGATTGACGAACAGAATACATTGGCTCGACAGAGTTCATGCTGGAAAATACCTGCTCCACAAGCACTCCTGAATGCTTATGGAATTCCAACGTAAAGTGTTTCTATTTACAACACCCCCAGGACGAAACGATGGGTTCCACATGCCTCTGCACCACAGGCCTCTTCTGCTTCTCCGTGTCCTGGCCTAAGGTTGTCCTTTTTCCAGAAACTACCCTTCTGAGCTGGCCACCTGACCGCCTCCCCCTTGCCCCTGGGCCCAGCCCAAGTGTCAGCGCCTGGGCAGCAAGGCCAACCCCAAAGCCTGACACACAGCTGGCTCCCACCAATGACAGAGTGGGGGCGCTATCGGGTGAAGGCCATGGTCCCCCGACACCCGGATAGCAGATCCCAATACAGACTGGAGAGCACAGGCTCGGTACTTCCCAGGCCCGCCCTGTCTCCAAGGAGCTGTGCAGCTCTGGCCAGTTCCCCTCCCTGCACCCCCATCCTGGGCGTTGGTGTCCCCATCTGTGACGTAAGGGGGTGACTGGATGATGGTACTTCCAGCCCCGTGTGGACGCAGCAGCCTCCAGACACTTCCCCTCGCTCCGCCCCGCCCCTGCGTCCAGTTCCTCTCCCCACACTTTCTATTTCCTTCTCTGTCTGGACACCGGGCGGCTGGCTGTTTGGTTCCCAGTCTCCTGCCTGGAGCGCACCCATGCCCAGGTGCCCGGCTGCCTCTCGGGCCTGGGCCACGGTCACCAGAGAGCCACGAACAACAGGGTGAAGGGGGACTGTCCAGGCAGAAGCGAAGTCCAGGGCTGGCCCCGCCCCAGGGGCACAGGATTGTGACCTTCTCCTCCATAGCTGTCCTCCTCCATTGCCCCTGGGCGACGGGAGAAAGCCCGGGACGTTGCTGCCTCCAGAAATAAGATGCACTTTCCCACATCAGAGAGCTGGGTTGCATACAGCAAGGCAGAGGCAGAAGTTGGTTAAACCCTTTGCCTCCTGAGAACCGTCCTCAGGATCCCTGAGAGCAGGTGAACCCTGACTCTGCTCTGTGACTCTGGCCCAGCCATTCAGCCTCTGAGCCTCATGAGTTCATTTGTCCTACAGACAGAGTGACAGCACGTCTCACACAAGGACACCGGGATGTACAAGGCAGTTTGTGAACAGTGATCTCCGTTATAAAGGAGGCTTGTCTGGGGGGCGTGGGCGAGATGCAGTGAATGTTGGAAAGAGATGGGACTTCTGAGCTAGAAGATCCGATTTCAGAGTCAATGTGCCTCCTATGAGCTGTGTGACCTGGAGCCAGTCTCCAACAGCCTTGAGACGAGCCGTAAAACTAGGATCACAATGGCCCCTGGACCTCACCCTAGAATTGTAAGAAACCAGGGACGGTGAAGCACCGATTATTCAGGTGGTCTGGGGCAGGTGGGTTCGGTCAACGCCATGGCCAAGGCTGGGTTTCCCCTGCAGCAGCTGCAGTCCTCCAAGGGGACAGAGGCCTTGTGAGTTTCCAGCCATAAGATCCCGCCACGCCCAGCCGGTGTGGCTCAATGGTTGAGCATTGACCTGTGAACCAGGAGGTCATGGTTCAATTCCCAGTCAGGGCACATGCCCGGGTTGTGGGCTCAATCCCCAGTGTGGGGCGTGCAGGAGGCAGCCAATCAATGATTCTCTCATCATTGATCTCTCTCTCTTTCCCACTTCCTTCCTCTCTGAAGTCAATGACAATATATTTTTAAAAAAGATCCGGCCAAGGCCAGAATAGGAAGCTAACAGTTCCTCCCAGCCGTTACCTCCTCCTGGGCTCCCTCCGCAGGCCCACGTGACCCTGGCTGGCCTGCACACTCTAACCCACCCCTTGCCGCTGGAGCAGCACCCACCACTCTTCTCGTCTCCTGTTCACCTTCTCTGGGAAATGCAGGGTCTGTTGGCCGGATTTGGCACCCAGCACAGCTCCTCTGGCTGGGTCCAGTTCCCTGGTTTGGGGTTCCACCTACTATAAGGGCTCAGCTCAGTGGGAGTCACTTGGAAGTCCCTGGTGGGAAGGCCAGCCCCGGCTGCTCTGGGAGGAGCCAAGAGCAGAGCCGAGTCGCCCAGGTGTGCTCCGTGCCACCCGCCAGGCTCTCAGCCCTTCAGGACTGATTTGCCAGTTAGAAAACCGCCAGCTCCCTCCAGGTGGCCAGCGAGGGTGGGGCAATGTCACAGATAAGGAAAGCCGGGATAAGAGGCAATGTTTGCCCCTCCGAAACGAGCTGGCGATAGTCCTCCGATAACTCCCATTAGGCTGCTCCAAAGCCACGGTTTCACCCCTCAGAGCTCTCCTCCGACAGTCCTGGAGCAATCAAAGGCCCTGGGGGCACCTTCCCTTTGAAGTCCTGTGTCGATTTGCTTATCTGGTTCAGGCCGGTGGAGAACCACACGACTGCTTTTCCTGTAAAATGTGCCTCTTGTGAGCCACCCAGATCCATAAGAATCAAATGTCTGTGGCAACAAAAAGTACGCCATGAATATTGACTAACTGGGAAGTAGGCACGTGTTCAAACTGGAAGGCAAGACACACAAGCCGAGTCAGTAATCACTGACCACACACCAGCTGTCCACGTGCCCTGCGGTGGTAAAGGCCGGTGGATGCTGACTGCTTCTGGAAATGCCAACATCACTTTATTTAGAGGAGTGGCATGTGGCGTTTTGCATGTGGTGGGCCTTTCTTAAAAATATTTCGCCCTTTGTCACGGCCCCTCGCACCTGGTGTTGAAATGACCTGAACGCTCATCGCTGGGGCCTGGGTGCCTGCTACTCATCACTGTCTTCCTCGAGCCCAGCTGGCAAGTGATCTGGCCGGGTGATTCGCAAGCGGTGCTCAACTGCGCCCTGAGGAGCCTCAGAAGGAGGGGGTGGCTTGGGGGACTGTGGGTGCTACTCCAGGCCTCCCCACACTTCCTTGTTAATAAGAGAATCTCTGCTTGTTCTTGCTTAAGTATTGGGTTTCCAAGTGAGATTTCACTTTATTTTTTATATGTTTTTATTGGTTTTATTTTTTAAAAAATATATTTTATTGATTTTTTACAGAGAGGAAGGGAGAGGGATAGAGAGTTAGAAACATCAATGAGAGAGAAACATCGATCAGCTGCCTCCTGCACAACTCCTACTGGGGATGTGCCCGCAGCCAAGGTACATGCCCTTGACCAGAATCGAACCTGGGACCTTTCAGTCCGCAGGCCGACGCTCTATCCATTGAGCCAAACCAGTTAGGGCGGTTTTATTTATTTTTGTTTGTTTTTATTTATTTGAGAGAGAGAGAGAAACATCAGTTGGTTGCCTCCCCTATGCACCCCAACCAGGGATCAGAGCCACAGCCCAGGCATGTGCCCTGACTGGGAATTGAATGGCGACCTTTCGGTGCACGGGACGACACCCCACCAGCTAAGCCACACCGGCCAGGCCATATTTCACTTGGAAAGGAAGTTCCTCTGTTTTAAAACAAAACATTTGAGAATCAGCAGTGTGTCCCGTCCCCGGATTGTATGCATTTCACATACTCAAGGCAGCTGTGAAGGAGGTAAAGTTTACCAGGTCACCTGCTTCCTTCCTGCGTCTCTAGTCCCTGTTGTCTCATGCCTAGTGCTCTTACCCAGCCCCTCCCTCTGGGAAGGGCTGGATGCCTGCCGTGGAATGAACACGTGTGCCCTCTTCAAGGAACGTCACAGTGACGAGCAAGAAGAGGAACAGAAACTAAGGCTGGAATTCTCGAACTTCATCCTGTTCAGTCAAAACCAGACCAAGGAACATTCATGAGTCAGAGCTCTGGGTGACTCTGAGACGTGTCCTGGTACCTATGGCTACATTGGGAAGTTACTACCTGAACATCTGAGGTTGTAAGTGTCCCGAGGCGGCGCCAGCTGCAAAATTGCCCTGTGCACTTGATGAGCTGGGGCTTCAGGTCCAGATGTCTGGATTCGGGTCTCGAGTGTCCCCTTTATACCCATGTTTTCAGACGTATTATTTTCTGTGTCATGGGTTCTTTCTCTCATAGTTCTTTATACTGATGATCAAATAAAAAGATGTGAACCTTTTTTATAAACTGCAACCCGGGCATGTGCCCTGCCCAGGAATTGAACCGTGACCTCCTGGCTCATAGGTAGATGCTCAACCACTGAGCCACGCCAGCTGGGCTGAGTTACATTTTATAATGTCACTTAAATAAGTACACAAATTTAATATGTATAAACTGCTAGATCACACATCCCGAAATCTAAAGTAAATGTACAGGTTAAATATCATCAAAGAAACACAACGAAGTCCAAAGTGGCTAATGGACTGGAGTAGAGGAGGTGGTTTGGCTGCGAGTCAGTCGCCTCTCATCAAACAGCAGCCATAGCTCAGGGTCTTTTGCACCTGGCTTGCTGGATGCTGCCCCTCGGGGAGTCGGGGGGAGGAGGGAGGGTCCCCTGGAAGAACTTCGAAGCCTCAGTGAGAAGGTATCACCGGCCTCCACGCAGAACAATCACATCATTCCATATTCCACGTTCCTCTGCTCTTCACTCATTCGTTTAGGGCCCAGTGGTTCTCAACCTTCCTAATGCCACGACCCTTTAATACCGTTCCTCATGTTGTGGTGACCCCCAATTTCATTGTTACAAATTGAACATAATTAAAGCGTAGTGATTAATCACAAAAACAATATGTAATTATATATGTGTTTTCCAATGGTCTTAGGCGAACCCTGTGAAAGGGTCGTTCGACCCCCAAAGGGGTCTCGACCCACAGGTTGAGAACCACTGGTTTAGGCCAGTTAAGGTACTGCTACTTGCTGCCAAATGTCAAGGTCGGCGTTGAAGCTCAGTCCTCAGTAACAAGGTATCGTGGGTAATTCAGAATGTGCGTATACTTTAACTTATCATGGAAATTAACACAATGAGTGTAGAGATTCTCCATGCAAAGCTCGAGGAATACGTCCAAGGGTGGCCCTTTGGTCCTGGGACTTGGAGGAAGTGAAAAAACACTCTTGGTGAGATGGCGGATGGGGGTTTTGCTCCACACTGCCCCCTCGTGGTAGTCTCCTCACCACACCCTGCGTCCACCTTCTTACTGTAGTTCTAGAGAGGCGGGCCTCTGCCGGGAGGGTGAGGGAGCAGAGGACAGCAGCAGGGGAGATTGAGGGTCTTAGGCAGCAGGTTAGGAATGGGGCTGGGGTAACCTAGGATGTGGTTAAGGCTGAGCTCTTTCTCTCACCTGACCCTTTTTGTGTTCCAAAGCCACGCCCGAGGGTACCCTGAAAAGTAGCACCATGTCCCTCCTTGAGGAAGAGTCGCAGACCCTGGAACAGTCTCAGATGTGGCACCTCCTGGAGTGGGTGATGGGGACAGAAAAGAAGGGATCCAAAGGCAGAAGCAACAAGTGGTATGAGCTCTACAGGGGGTTGGGCAGCCTCCTGGCTTCCTCTTGTCTCCTTCTCGATTCCCCCTGTTGCC